ACACAGCTGGCAGGTGTGGCACTTTGCTCCTCTGTAGCTCTGAGATCAAAGCGACGACGTAAGTGGACACGTTGGTCGGGCAGATCCCTGCCTCAGCCACCCACTCTCAGTCCTAACAATAGGACTTTGAGTCTCTGTAAAGCAGAAGTCAGAAAGCATTTTCTGAGAAGGGCTGGAGCATCAGTATTTAGGCCTTTTTATGTAAGAGCCACACCACCTGTCGCGATTCCGAAGTTCTGCTGCAGCCTTGCAGAGGTAGCCACTCCTCACATACGTGACCAGAGTGGCTATTTCACAAGCCTCTGTTTACAAGAGCAGAGCTGGCCAGATTTGGCTCACAGGCTGTGGTTTGCCACCCCCACTTCAAAAATTAGCTTGTAGCTGATTCACAATGGTATACAAGCAGGACCCAGGTCTGCCAAGTTAGCATCACTCTGGTGTCCTCATGTCCACTCAGCTAACCTAGTGGGGGTTTCAAGGTGGCTGCAAATTCCAAGACACTTCCTATGAAGATGTGACATCTGTGACCTCTGTTCTCAAACTGGGGCAGGGTCTATAACAGCACCACAGAGAAGGCTGCTGCTCTGGTTCCTGGGCCTGGCTGTAGAAACCAACATTTTCTACTATTTTTGGAACACCTGCTCACAGACTCCAGCCATGCTACTTAGAGACTAACTCCATGCAACTCACCAAACAGGGGCAAGGGAAGGTAAGGGGCTTCCAACCAATATCCTCGCTATACCCCTAGCCTGGTCCCTACAGTACTTCCCACAAGGGACTCCATGGACTCCAGCATCTGCAACACAAAGGATCCCACAGAACACAGGGCTGACAGTGACAAGTGCCAACCTCCCTTCATAGTCTGCACCAGGCTGCAGCACAGTCGGCTAAGTCACTGTGACTCTTAGGGTGCTCCATGTCCCCAAACCTATAAAAGGGAAATGGGGAAAGATGGACATGTTACAGCAGGACTGCAAGGCTCAAGAGGAGCAAATTCAAGTGTCTTTAAGGATAAGCCCAGGCATCAGGATGGGCTCACGTAGTGAATCAGCTTTATGTGTTTACAAAGCCTCTGCTGTGAGTGTGGGCTGTTTGCATGGAACCTCCTCAGCAGTGGAGCCAACCAGACACACTTGAGAAACCAGCTTTTCACTGACAGAACCAGCCTTAGGACAACAACAGTTGGCCAGCAGCTGAGCTGTGATATACAGGGTCAGCAGAACAGTATCTAAAGTTGCAATGTAATATCCCAAGATTTACAGGGGAATCGTCTGAGGGGACTTAGCCCTGGAGTCAGCAAACCATGGCCCCTGGGCCAAACCCAGCCCACCACCTATTTGTGTACAGTTGGTGAGCTCATAATGGGCTTCACGTTTGTAAATGGTAGAAAAAAATTCAAAGAATATTCCACAGCAAGTGAAAAGCAGATGAGTTCACCTTTTAATGTCCATGGTTTACTAGAACACAGTTGTACCCAGCTTTAAGTTTTGTCTGCAGCTACTTTCTCAGCATGATGGTCAAGCTCAGGGCTGCAACGAAGACATGTGGCCTAAAACACTGTCAAGTCCTCTGCACAGAACATCTGGTGACCCTCATGTTAGACCGCTGGGGTCTGCCAACCCTTTATCCTGAACTAACCTATCCTCCTCTAACAATCTGGAGGACACAAGTCCAGGCTTGGACAGTGTGGATGGGAGTTGGGTGGGCTGAGGCAGAGGATCCAAGACCCCGGATCATCACATATGGTCCAGGGAGTGACCAGAGGGTCCAGGGCACTGGATGAACCACCAGGTACCTGGGAGGTGGACATGTCACAAAGAATAAGGAGAAAAAGCAAAATGAAAAAAGTAGAAAACAAAAATCCAAATGTTCCTTGAGTTAGTCCCAGCTCTCAGCCTGTAAACACATCTGGGGGGTTTCACGTTTATTAAAGGAAAACAAACTGATGAAGAATTACATTTAAAGATATCTATAAAAACAGTTTTTAAGCACATGTATTGAAATGAGATATTTTCCTCTGCAAGACCATGTTTTCCAGTTTTGTACTAATATTGAGCTGAATCAATAATCACAACTCCAGATGACTCTGTTCCCCAACCTTGTGCTTGGCAAGAGCGCTGTGCTCTGACTGACCCTTCTCACCTGCCACTTCCTGGGACCCAGGGTCTCTTTCTGGACCCCCATAGAGTGGAAATAAAAATCCCACAGAAACCTCAAAGGATTCCTCACTGGGGCCAGTCCTGGGACCCAGGACCTCCTTGGATTCAGCAGGGATCAGGAAGAAAAAAGGATTTTGTCCTATTCCCCCCGCACCCAACCTGATGTCAGCCAACTCCCAGCTGGGCAGTTGGCATTAGCTGGCTCTTGAACTCAGGTGGATTAACTTCTAGAAGATTTGTTCCCAGTAATCTATTTTCATATGGTTGGGAAAGCTTCAAAGTAAAAACTACAATTCACAACCATTTTCTTAAAAAAAAAAAAAAGATTAAGCATCTATGTGGACTTTAACTGCAGAGACAAGGAAAGACACCTCTAACCAAAACCCACACCCTGCCTCCCTCCATGTGTTCTCTTATTCCTTCACCCCTACCCCCCAATAACTCCCTCATTCCTTTAAAACCTCTAACCCCAAAGTGCTCTGGACACTCAAGAGCCAGGCCCTTCCAGGGTAGCTTGACAAGACCACAAGAAAATTTTACCAAATGTGGAAAGTAACAGTCCCTTAGAGACCATCCCTTAATCTAAGGAAGATGAGGATGGCTGCTCTGGTACCACGGGCTTTGGGCAAGATGAGGCACCCCTGTTGACAGAAGCAATGGCCTAAGCAATGCAGCCTCAGGGATTAGGGGGAACCCAAGGCACAATCCAGCCAGGCACAGCCATCCCCAACAGTGGGACATCTCCAGGCTATCCCCCACCCAGTCCTGTGCCATCTCCAAGCTCCCCATCCCCAGGGGTTCTTCCCAGGTCCTCAGCCTCCCATACCTGCTGCCTTCAGAAGGCTGCAAACTAACCAAGCATTTTACCCTCATCAGGGTAAACATTTATGGTTCTTGTTTTAGGCAGAACACATTAGTTTCTGGTGCAATGCCACAGAAATAGACCAAATAAACTCTCACATTCTTCTGAGCCTGTGTGACCCACCTTAAATACTTCATTGGATGCCTGTAGAAGATGCCAAGAGCCAGATGACCTCTGAACAAGATGATTTGCAGCAGGGGGGCAGACCCTCTGACAATTCATCCACAGGTGTTCGTTGCAGAGAAAGAGCCCAGGCCGGTGGCAATCCTTAAGCACACAGTCATTGTCTAATACTTTCCTCACCTGTCATGTACAGTCTCAATAAAAGGCTACTGCAGAGTTTCTTGGGGTAACCTCCAATCATGGTTAGCCTGCCTCCTGCAAGCTTGTACTTCTAATATGAGTCATTCCTGCAGTGATTGAGACCAGGGCCATAGGGGTTGCGACATCTGGCATGGTCAGCAGGATCCGGCAGGACACCAGGGATGTAGACTGAAGGGGAAAGGGGCACTCAGAAGTAAGTGAAGCCTTCGACAGACAGGGGGAGGAAGTCCAAACTCCACTCAGGGCAAGTGGGACCTTTGGCCAATCTAGAATCTAGGGAACCTTTCTACGAATAAGTGAGGCCCTTGGTAAGTAAGCAAAGACATTTAGAGAAAACAATGGGTAACTTCACGTTTGGGGAGTTGCAAGAATTAGAAACTGAGAAAGAAGGTGGCATTCAAGCAGAATTTGAAAGTTAGGAGAATACTGAGGTTCAGTGGGAATCTGGACCTAAGGAGAACTGGGAATCAAGAGCATATGATACAGACACAAATAAGCAAGGAATTACCTCTGTGGCCATTATGGCTGCTCATATCAAATAATTGGAAGACTGGGTAAATAGTCTTACCGTCAGAAATGCCAACTTAGAGCACCCAATGTTGTCCTCAGCACTTCCCTATGTAAATGAACCACCTGTGACTTCTGTTATGAAGGCTGTGTTAGAAGGGTGTAAAACTGGTGACTTTAAGTGGGAAGACATTTGGGGGCTTTTTCTGGTTATGGTCACTGATATTCCTCCCAATCCACAACACCCTCAAGGGGGCCAGCGTTTTGATCACCATACGATCACCTTTGCAGTTCTGAAAGATTTGAAACAGGATGCAGCACAGTATGGTATGCAATCCCCGCTTTCTGGAGGTCCATTACAGGGGCTTGCACAACAGCAACAGCTCATTCCTTATGACTGGGACATGATAGCCAGAACTATTCTTGAGTCTTGACAGTATTTACAGTTCAAAACCTGGTAGAAGGAGGTTGATGAGTCCTTTGCCTGATGAGTTGCCAAAACCAACAGAGAGGAGTCCCTATAACATCAGAAAAGCTCACTGGGTCTGGTCAGTAGCTGGGGATTCTGAATCAACTTCAGTGCAATGACATAGCCCTAGTCCAGACCAGGCTGTGTTGTCTTAGGGCCTGGGAAAAGGTTCAGGCTCCTGGAGATATCTCTAAATCTTTCATGAACTACAGTTGATAAGGCCGTTGCCCAGCCAGAGCTCAGAGATATTCTTTTCCAAACTTTAGCATTTGAGAATGCTAACTCTGAGTGTCAAAAGGTCTTGTGACCTCTGAGAGCACAAAATGCTCCCTTAGAGGAATATATATGGGCATGTGCTGATATAGGAAGGGAATCTCACAAGGCTACTTTTCTTACTGCCACTTTAAAAGAAAGGTTCAGTCCATACCATCCTACATGTCATAAGTGTAGAAACTGGGACATATGAGAAAAGAGTGTTGGAAAGGGAAGATCTATAGGAAAAGCAATGATCAAAAGACATCTAGCAAATGGAAACCCCCTGGGTTGTGTCCCAGGCATAGGAACACACCCCATTGGGCAAGTGAGTGCTGCTCTGAGTTCGATAAAAAAGGAACACCTTTACCATAGGCAAACTAGTAGCCAGGCCCAGGCTGGGCCCGCAGGCAAAGAATACGGGTCTGTACTTGCTTTGGCAACACATATACTAAAATTGGAATGATACAGAGTAGATCAGCATGGCCCCTGCGCAAGGATGACATGCAAATTCATGAAGCATTCCATATCAAAAAAAAGAATACGGGCCTGAGAATGTACTCATTCAACAACAACTTCACTCTGTTCAGTCTCTGTTACACGCCATCTCAGGCTGTGTTGCTTTGGACTTACTGGCATATGATAATGTCCTTTTGCTTCCTAGCATAGGAGCAAAAGGATTAAAAACAGGAGTGCGTGGTCCTCTGCCCCCAGGTACTGTTGGATTATTGCTCAGGAAAAGTGAATTAGCATCTCAGGGAATGTTTGTCCACACAGGTGTTATTGATGGTAATTCCTTAGGGGAAACACAGATCATTTTCTCAGTAAACCAACCAACTCAAATTTTGGCCGGACAAAAGATTGTTCCATTGCTACTCCTACCACTCCTTAAGTTACAGGGTATTGGGGGAAAACATACTGGTGAGCTCAGTAACATAAGCCATATTTTCTGGCAAACGTCTGTGGATAAGAGTAGGCCTCAATGGACTCTTACTCTGGAGGATAAAACCTTTACTGTCCTGTTAGACATGGGTACCAGTTATGGCTCTAAATCAGCAGCCCAGGGAATGGCCAAAACAAATTGTTGATATTACCTTTGTTGGCATTGGAACTCTACATTCAATCTTTCAGAGTATTTTGCCTTTGATCTTCTTGGGGCTGGATAAGCAGGATGCTCCAATCCGACCATATATAGCTGACATTGCTATTAACCTATGGGGTCGTGATTTGGTCCAGCAATGGAATGCTGTGATAACCATACCATCCCCTCATGTTAATTCCTTGCAAATGTCAAATTTAAGCATAGTGGCCCCTGCCCTGAAATATGCTCTCAGGTTATCCTGGAAGAGTAGTGATCCAGTGTGGGTGGAGCAGTGGCTGTTAACTATGGAACAACTGGATGCTTTAAAATTAGTAGCACAGGAACAATTGGAGCAAGGACATATCAAGCCCTCTACCAGCCCTTGGAATTCTCCTATTTTTGTGATAAGAAAGAAATCAGGCAATTTACTGACCTTCACAAAGTTAACGAAACTATTATCCCCATGGGACCCCTGCAATTAGGGCTTCCTTTACCCTCTATGATTCCTTTCAATTGGTATGTGTATGTTATTGACTTAAAGGATTGTTTTTTACCATATACCTGCATCCTGAAGATCAACCACATTTTGCCTTTTTTGTTCCTGTCTATAAGCAGCAAAAGCCTCCCAAACGTTATCAGTGGAAGTTTCTGCCACAAGGTATGTTGAATAGTCCTACACTGTGTCAACAGTTTGTCAATCAACCTTTACAGATTCTTAGAAAGAGATACTCTATAGCCTACATTATTCATTATATGGATGACATCTTATTGGCACATCAGAGTTTGACAGTTTTACAGAAAATGTTTGAACAAGCTGTACGTACATTACAGTCTTATGGTCTTCAAATTGCTTCAGAAAAGGTGCAAACTACAGCTCCTTATAATTATTTAGGATACAAATTGACTCAAACTCAAATTCTTCCACAATGTGTTCAACTGTGATTGGATTCCTTATCTACTTTAAATGACTTTCAAAAGCTATTAGGTCATATTAATTGGTTACATCCTACTTTAGGAATACCAACCTATGCTTTGTCTAATCTTTTCAAAATTCTGGAAGGACGTTTGGACTTAAATAGTCCTCATTCATTCACCCTGGAAGCTAAGGAAGAACTGCAACTAATTGAAAAATAGCTTGCATCAAAAGAATTAGATAGGGTTGATGTGAGATTTCTGATTCAGCTAATAATTATAGCCACTAGTCACTCCCCAACTGGAGTTATTTATCAAGTAGATACTCTTTTAGAATGGCTGTTCCTTTCTAATATAACTACACAAAAATTACATGGGTCTTCCTAAGTCTATTAAAACTGATAATGTACCTTCTTATTCTACTCACAAGTTAAATACCTTTCTATCTTTTGGGAATATTCAATTATTTCATGGTATTCCTTACAATTCTCAAGGACAGGCCATTATTGATCGACATCATAAAACATTAAAAGATATTTTAGAAAAACAGAGAGGGGGAGAGGATCTCCTCCCCTTGAATAATAGTCCTAAGTACATACTCACTAGAGTTCTTCTCACTCTCAATTTTTTGACTCTCAGCAATGACAGAGAGACAGCTGCAGAATGCCACTGGACATCTCTCATTCATTAATCATCCTCTCCAATACAACAACGTATTTTTTATAGAAAACCTGCCATGTCAGAGTGGAAGCCTGGTTATGTACTGCACTGGGGTCAAGGTTTTGCCCATATTATTACAGAACATCAAGAGAAGCAATGGTTACCAGCTCGCTGGATTAAGCCTCGACATGAGCAGGAAACCTTGCCAGCACTTTAACAAATTTGTTTTCACTAACTTTTCTATTATTCACAGGACCCTGATTTTTGGAGCCTAGGTAATTTCATAATAGAGAAACCCTGGATCAATCTCCTCTGTGGGAACTCTAGCTGCCTCTCCCATATTACTGTCCATCAGCAGGAAGCAGTTAAGTGTGGTCAGCATCCTGTTTTCTTAAGAGGCAGTTGGAGCTTCTATGCAGAGAGGGAAGATTGATAAAGGTTTTCGTTATTTTGGGCTGAATAACAAGCTCCAGGTAAGTTTGATACGTATCCTCTAAACCTTAGGAAGTTATGTACAAGAAAGACCTCAAACATCAGGCTTCAGGGTAACAATTATACTGGTATCAGCTAAGGAAGGAAACCTCCTCAGTGAGGAGAATGGCTGAAGTAACCAAAGACAGATTTTCTCCCTTGCCTATTCAGAAATGTCTTTGAATACACTAGAGGGGGGAAATGTAGAGGACACCAAGAGCCAGACGACTTCTGAGCAAGATGATTTGCAGGTGGGGGCAGATCCTCTGGCAATTCTTCTGTAGGTGTCCATTGCTCGGACAAAGAGCCTGAGCCCATGGCAATCATTGTTTAATGCTCCCTTCACCTGTCATGTACTGTCTCAATAAAAGGCTACTGCGGAGGTTCCTCGGGGCTACCCTGCAATCAAGGTTAGCCTGCCTCCTGCAAGCTTTTACTTCTAAACTGCCTCATGCCTGGCTTCTTCCTGCAGCAATTCAGACCATGGCCATAGGGGTTGCAACAGATCCCCAAAGAAAATCTAAGATAATACCTTTAAACAAAGCAAATTTATTCAGTTTATTGTTGATTGTTGCTATTTGTATACTGGCTTTTCCTAAAAACATTTCCCTAGTTTCAGATCCAGAAAAGTATTAGTTCCACCTCGTAGGTAGCTGAGTCACACTGCAGGGTAGACCCAGACACAAAGGGACCCAGCAAAATGCTGGACCTACTGGCCCCTGAACAGGCCCATTCCAGCCTCACACATGAACAGGGTTTGCATGAGCACCACTTATACACACATGCACATTTGGCCTAAAAGAAATGGGATCCAGCCTGGAAAAGGATGTAGAGATATGGTTTGGATGTTCTCACTGCAAAGTCAGAGAAATCTGTATGTCAGACTGTACAGTATATACTGTATAGAACATAAACCAAATTTTGTTTTGCACATCCCTGCCCGGCAGTTAACCAACAAAATCATAAAATAATTCAAAGCATCAGAGAGACATTAGCTGGGCTCTGAGCAGCAGCCAGGCAGTCTATTTGAAGGTAGGCTGACTGAAAAGTGTGAGCCAGGACTGGCTAGAATACAGCATTAAAAGAACGTTACACTAAGTGCCGCCTATGGCTCAAAGGAGTAGGGTGCTGGCCCCATACACCAGAGGTGGAGGGTTCAAACTTGGCCCCAGCAAAAAAAGAAAAAAAAAATTATAAAAGTACATTACACTACTCTAAATTGTCTGCTATTAGGGAAGTTTATGACAAAGGCAGTAAATCCAAACTGGGCCTTGAGCAGAACAGACCACAGGTGACCTTGGAAGAATACCCTAGCCAGGCACCCAACCACACACCAGGTGTGGGTGCAGCCACCTCTACTTTACTATGCCTCAACCTGGGCTGAGCAACTATAGAAATTTTTAAAATACATGGGCAGGGCCCAGCCCAGATCAATTAAATCAAATATCTGGTGCGGGATTTGGGGTGGAGGGTCTCTGCATCTTCATTTTTTGAAGCTCTTCAGGAGAGTCTAATGCACAAGCAGGTCTGAGAACACACATTCCTTCAGAGATCTCAGCCTCCAGGTCCATCCACAGGAAGAACAGCACCAGGTTGGTTTGCAGGAGTCAGAGGCAGCAGCCCCAGTAGTCATGGAAACTTCTACGAGTCTTCTTTGCTGCAGCAACTGGCCCTTCCAGGGAAGGCACCCTAAATTGCTCCCCACTCACCCCCTCTCCTAATCTATACAAACTGTCTTCCCATCTCCAGGCTCCTCAGCTCATGCTAGAGCCCACTACAGCTGAAAGAGCATGACCCAGGATTAGTTGTGCAGCTTAAGGCTCTTATTAAAGGTCAACTTTGCTTCGTGGTGAAGCGAGTGAGGGCCTTGGGTTGGTGGTTATGAAGTTTCTCATAAGTCTGGAAGCCCCATCTGTAATGTCCTTTCTACAGATACATTCACATAAAAACAGAATCCAAAATTATATTCCTTACATATTTTCAGACTTTTAGATATGAAAATCTGTTAACTATCAACAGCTGTGTCATATAGTTGTTTTCTTTGGACAAAATTAAAGCTATTCATCCTCAAAATCCCTATAGCTACTTCAAAGTGTGTTGAGCCCCAACTATAGTTAACATTGACCCAGGGTTTGCTCCACTGTGGCTGATCAGAATGTGCTTTGGGGGTTCAGCATATTTTTCCAGGCACCTTGTCCCTGTCAGCTGGTCTAGTTCTGTCCTTCCATTTTTGTGATTCACTCAATAATTATGTTATTTGAGAAACCACAGCACAGAATAATCATTGGCCAACTTTAATTAAAATGCAGTGTATTAATACTTAACTTATTCTTCTGGGAAAAGTCATACTAAGCATTCTTTCATTTTCCACAGAGAGCTAAGCTTTCAGCTAAAATTGTGCTAATGGTGA